AATCATCACAAGGTCCTGGGGTGCACAGAATGAAATAGCAGCTCAGAGAGAGAGAAAGAGAGAAACTTTTAAGGAGCCAGGAAAGGTTTTGCAGAAGGGAGACAGAGCTGGTCTTAAAGAGTGAGTAGAAGGCTTGGGAACAGGTAGGAGACCTGCAGGCCAAGGGAATGTCCGGGGCAGAGCATGATGTGGGCGAGCTGTGGTGTGCTGGGGAAATCATGGAGACCTCTCTGGACCAGTGTTGGGAGTGTGAAGGGGGACGAGGAGGGAGGAGGAAGGAGGGGACCATGCTGGTGGTTCAGGGACAAGGACCCTGCATACAGGGTCCACCACTATTTCTTTCATTGCTATCACGTTTTACCTTGGGGTTCATTGCACACCCTGAGTCTCCTGCACCCCTTCTTCCATCTGCAGCTCAGCCGGTGCCTCCACTCCCCCTCTAGGGGGCGCTCACACCCTCTCCCAGGCTCCACCAGCCCCTTCTGAGGGCTGACCTCTGCCATTGGGTAAACTAAGGTAATGTCCTGTAGGGTCCCTGTTCATACAGGCCTGACCTTTCCCCTCAGGACCCTCGTTCTTAGCCACGGAACTGGCTTCCTAAGGCTGTCCTAACAAAGAGCCACAGTCAGGGGGGCTTAAGCAACAGAAATTGGCTTGCTCACAGTTCTGGAGGCTGCTAGCCCAAGACCAAGAGGTCAGCAGGATTGGCTTCCTCTCCCATTGGCTTGAGGCACCATGTCCCTGTGTCTTCCCTCTGTGCGTGTCTGTGTCTGAATTTTCTCGTCGAGACACCAGCTATATTGGGCTGGGTCCACCTAATGACCTTATTTTAACTCCATCATTTCTTTAAAGATCCAATTCCAATTGTCACATTCTGAGATATTGGGGGTCAGGTCGTTAGCATGTGAGTTTTGAGGGGGACACCATTCAACCCATAGACCAGCTCACCTTTCAAGTCCCTGATGCTCCTTGTGGAGCTCACCCTTTGGAAAGTACACTTTATTCCGCTCTCTACCCACAGGGACTCTGGGGCCACCTCTCAGGAGCTGTAGCCTGATGCAGAGGAACCGCACTGTGCTGAAGACCGGAACTGGTTCCACCGTCTCTCCCCACAGAGACTCGGGTGAGACGGTGACTTTGGTCTCCAGGGTAAACACTTCCCACCTCCAGTGATGAGCCATGCCTGCCAGTACCCCAATTCCAGGCTTATTGAGCTCATGAATCAAAGGCTACTCGTGGGTGCCACTAGGAGTCTACCCTGGAGCTGGTGCAAGGGTAAGCCCAGCAGCCACGGACCTGGCCATAACCAGGGAAGCCAATAGATTAGCGTAGTCACAAACTGTGATGAGAGGGACTCATTTGTCCTCAGATAGTTACCGAGTATCCACTGTGTGCCTGGCACTGTTCCAAGTGCTGGAGGGAAATTTTAAATTTCCAAAACCCTAAAATCCCTATCCTTGGGGAGCTGATATTCCAACATGGAGCAAGAACAAATTAAAAAATACTTTTTTTAAAAAAAAGCAGAAAAATAGAATTCATTGCATGTGGATTGAGGAGGGGGAGGGCTGCAGAGGGTGACACACACCTCAGAGCATGGCACGGGAAGTGGGGGACAGTCCAGTGACAACAAAGAACTAGTAGGATCCACCTTGGCTGAGGGATGGAAGTGGCGTCACCAGCAACGAGCCGTAGTGACATCTCCTTCCCCTGACACCGTGTTAGGAGCCAGGGATCAGTGGCATCTTTCCCCAAACCCGTGCCTCAGTCCATCATGGAAAACAGCGGTCACACCCAAGCAAAGGGATGTTCAAAAAGATGCCACCAGCCTCCTGCAAAGTGCTAATTCAGGAACAGAAAGGAGATCCTGAGGACCACCAGGGACCTAAGGAGACTAAGGAGACCTGTGACCAAGTACAGCGTGGGAGTCGTGAACGGGCAGTGGGTGGCGTCCTGCTAAGGTTGGGCTCTCCAAGGTTCGCTTCTAGCTGTTGACAAATCTGCTGCGGTTCCACGGGCTGCTTATGTTAGGGGAGGAGCAAAGCTGGAGCCCTCCGTACGGTTTCTATGACTTTTCTATAAATCCCAAAGTGTCTCAAGTTAAAAAAAAAAAACAAAAACATTTTTTAAAAAATACAATATTCCAGAAGAAAAACCAAAAAAAAATCCAGAAAGGGAAGAGAAGTGGGGTGGAGAGTCCCAACGTCCAAAGAAGGCGACTAGGTAAGGAAGAGGATGGGTGCTAAGAGAGGATCTCTGGAGCCTTCTGGAGCCAGGGCACGTAGGGTGTCTCCAGGGTGATGGCATTGAAGCCAAGACCCAAGGGGACAGAGGAGCAAAAGAGGCAGAAGCTCAGTGTGGCTTTGTGAGCAAAGTCCCAGAGGTGGGCACCCGTGTGAAGAGGGCGCCTGTGGCTGGAGCAGGTAGCAGAAGGGGAGGAGAGCAGAGGCTCCCTCCTCCACTGTCACCAGACACCGTGCAGGGCTCTGAGCAGAGTCACAGTGATACCAAGGCTACGCCTGGGTGCCTGGCACTTGTCTGAGCCTTTTTATATATTGACTCAGTTAATGGAGAGGCACCTTCAAAGGGCTGGGCATGGTAAGCAGGTGACATCACTGGCCCTCTCCAGCTTCCTGTGGTCACTCCACAGCACTGACCACCCCCTACCTCCCCAAGATCGTGTAGCAGGGAATAAGGGGGCACCAAGGTGACTGTGCCAATCAGGATCCCAAAAGACAATCCCTAACACCACGATCTTTCCGACTCAAAATTTCTAAAGTCTATGATTCCTAAAGATCAAAATTTCAAGCATCACAATCCTGAAAGACTAAAATCTTGAGTGTGGATATTATGAAAGCAGAAATCCCAGAAAACCCACAATTCCCCTTGAGAAATGGAGGCTATGTAAGAGGGCTAGGGAAACCGGAAATCTGGAAAGGGACAATTGAAATGAGTCCGTTAGCCACACGTTCCTCCAACTGGTGGGCTCCTGGGACAACTATTTGCAGAGGTGACCCATTGCAGGTTTTGATCCATCTCTTCAAAAGATCAGCTATCCCTTGCAGTATTCCAGATGACCAGTTATCCAGCTGGGTGGACACTGTGGGTGTACTCACCTGTAATCCCAGCTACTCAGGAGGCAGAGGCAGGACAATTGCAAGTCTGAGGCCAGCTGGGCAATTTAGAAACACTATCTCAAAATAAAACTAAAGAGTCTGCGGATGTAGCTCAGAAATACAGCACCCATTGGTTCGATCCCTAGTATTGCCAAAAATAAATAAATAAATAAATAAAATAAAACCAACTAAGTGTACACCTTTACCAACCACAGTGATAATAGTGACCACAACACTCAGAGCAACCAAGAGATCTTTATTGCAGTAGTGCAACAGAGGAGAAGAGAGAGAAAGAGACGTGGGGGGGGGGGAGGACTCGCAAAAAGGAGACAGAGCAAGAGAGAAGAAAGAGAGGAGCCTGGCAGAAGGGAGTTTTTATTTTTTTTATTTTTTTTTATTGGTTGTTGACAACATTACAAAGCTCTTGACATATCATATTTCATACATTAAAGTGGGTTATGAACTCCCAATTTTTACCCCAAATGCAGATTGCAGAATCATGTCGGTTACACATCCACAATTTTACATAATGCCCTATTAGTAACTGTTGTATTCTGCTACCTTTCCTATCCTCTACTATCAGAAGGGAGTTTTTATAGCCCAAATCTAATGGGGTCTCTGGGTCTGCAAGCTGCCTTGTTGGCACACAAAGGGGTTAAGTGCTCGGCCTTGAGCAGGGGGTTGAGTGTTCAGCCTTGAGCAGGGGGCTTGGGCGTTTGGGCTTGAAGCAAACAGGTGATAAAGAACCAGACAGAGGGTTTGAGAGGCCAGGTCATCCTGCAGCTGACTTTGTTTGGCATGCCCTGCAGACAACTTATGTAGCCTGCCCTGCACCTAACACTCTTCACCTATTTCTTTTTTGAATATGACCTGCTTATAACTGTTACAGCCTGTGGCTGTTGACAGTATTCCTGAGGTTTATGCAAAGATATATGCTGTGATTGTCTGTTTTACTGTTCAAAGTGGCCTTGGGAGCATTCTGTTGGGTACTTTGTTGTTATTGCTTTTCTCCAATAAATGCCCTTTCAAAATGTAAATAAATGTCCCCAAAAGTCTTGTTTTGTTTTGGGTACCAGGGATTGAACCCAGGAGTGCTTAACCACTGAGCCATGTCCCCAGAGTCTTGCTAAATTGCTTAGGGCCTCACTAAGTTAAAATTATTTTTTTAAATTTTAATCTTAAAATCATTTTTGTTTTCTAGAATATGTTTTGGGAATTTTGATCTTTTGGGATTTCAGACTTTAGGGACTTTGATCTTTGGGGATTTTGATCTTTGGGGATTTCAACATTTAGAATTGACATGTAAGATTATCTGGATTATGGCCCAAATCCATTGGAAGGATGTCTGGATCCTGTGGTTGTTTGAAGGCTTAGAGGAGGCAGGCAAGGGAGCAGGCGGTGACCTTCGAAGGTTGTGGAGGAAAGCTTGTTTTTCCAATGTGTTTTTCTGGCCCACCCAGGAAAAAGAGTTGAGATGAGGGCCTTCAGGCTCCCCTTGGAACGGGGACACACACAGGGTTTTTCTCTCTACTGCTTTCAGAGTTCTTCAATCAGCTCACCATGCCACCCTGACACCCAAACACTGGGGATTCCTTGACTTTCTGCTCCCTGCAGGACCACCCACCTACCTCCGTGTCCAAGATGACCCTTGCACCCCTCGGTGGTGCAGGCCTCAGAGTTGTTGCTTCTTAAGCCACTACCAGGGCACCTGCCATGTCACAATCACAGATCCAAGTGACTCCCCTGTGCTCCCAACCACACTGATGTTTTCGACTCTGCAACTCCCCAAGATAGTGCCTAGGGGCTCCTGGTCCTTAAGCCTAGGACCACCTCTCACAGGCAGTGTCCACAGGTGAGTTGACCATTCATGGGACCCAGAGAAGTGTGAACTTCACATAAGGAAAAAAACTTTACTGCAAGTCTGTCCTGCGAATTTTGTGGTGTTTTTGTTTGTCAAATCCGGCAACTCTGTCTTGAGGGTACAGCAATGAGCCGGAGGTGGCTGCCTCTATGGCCAGAAGACAGCAGTTCTCTGCAGAGATGTCGGGGGGAGTCACTGACCACATGCAAAGACTGCGCACCAGTGGGTGTGGGAACCAGGCCTGGAAAACCAGGAGCGGACCCTGGGAGGCCTCCTGCTCTGTGACATACAGCCAGAAGTATAACAAAGCCTTACTCACGCAGGACTGGGAGGTGGAAGCCTGAGACAGAACCTTCCCTGAGGTTCTGTGGGCTACAGCAGAGTTGCTAACTCAACCAGGGCAAGTTGGCACCCCCCGGGACTCTGGCCGGCCTGTGGTATCAAAGATGCCTTTCTGCAGCAGTTTCCCCTGGGATTCGAGCCCTCTCCTTACTTCCCCTGGGAGAGCTCAGGTCTAGGGAGCATTGTGGGACTACCAGCGGCAGCAGTGGGCGGGGCCAGATCACCTCCAGTGGGAGTAGGAGGGGCTGGGGGCTTGTGGAAGGGGGAGCATGGAGGCTTGGGTCTCTGGGTCTCGGGAGGCCCACTGAAGGCTTGAAACCAGCGAATGATGCAAAGGCCTCATATTCTTGAAGATATTCGGGTGACCGTGAAGAAGACCAGCTGGCGGGGCAGGCGTGGAAGTGTGGGACAGCCTAGGGTCATTGCAGTGGTACAGTGACAGTGGCTGGGAAGTGTGCAGCAGAGGGTAAGCGGAGGAGGGTGTCTGCCCGCTTCACCCGGAGATTGGAGGACGGGGGTGCTGCCCGGGTTGCTGGCTGCCAGGGAAGAAGCAGCACTGTTCTGGGATGAGGACCCTGGGAACGGAGGGGTTTCTGCTCAGGCATGCTCTGGGTGGCGCAGGGCCATGCCTGCATCAAGAGCCTCAGTCAGAACCCTGGTTACCAGAGGGTGAGAGGCGTGGAAGGAGCTGCGGAAACCCAGGTAAAAAGTAGGACCTGGATCTCCACCTGAAACCCTGGCGGGACCTCTCCTCCGGCCCCTCAGAGGCTCCCAGTGTCTTGAGAGGAGAGAGGCGTGATTCCTCATCCATGCTGCCCGGACCAAGCCCTTGCTTTCTGACCCAAATCCCAGGATTCTTCCTCAGGCTGCCACCGCTGGAGGACCGCAGCAGGTGACTCCTCTCTTTTGAGGTCACGGTGTCCCCAAGGCCAGTCTGGGCACCCGTCAGCTGGGAGAGGAGTGCTGTTGGCCAGAGAGGGAGAGGGTGGACCCCCCGCAGGGGGCCTGCTTCAGAATCCCAGCTCCCTCAGCGCTGATGGTGACGTGGCCTTGGGAACTCACTTTACCTCTCTGTGCCAAGGTCTCCTCCGTGTGGTGTGTAAAGGAGAGGAATCAAACGGGGCCTCCACTGGTATTTGTTAGGCTTCGATGAGCCCCTCAGCATAAAAACCAGGGCACCGGCAGTGACCTTCATCAGTGACCCTGGGCCGCTGTGGAGTGAAGGAGGGAACCCGTGTCAGCTGCGGCACACACTGTCCTGAGGCCAGCCTGTTTTCTCACACCATCTTCAGGTTCTCTTCTTACTCTCTGCCTCTGATCCCAGGCGCCAGTGGGACAGGAGATGTGAGCTGGTGTTGGCCGCCTTCCCCTGCAGAACAAATCCCCCCAAACCCATAGCTTGAAATGATCAACATTTTCCAGGGATCCCAGAGGGGCTGAGCTTGTAGTCGAGTTGGGGGACAAGGCTGCAGTTTCTGAAGATATGATTGGGGCAGAATGTTCCGTATCCAAGTGCTCTCGCTCTGGCTCTCATGGGGTTTTTGGCAGGAGGTCTCAGTTCCTCCGTGAGGGTATATGCAGAAGCTGATCTGATGTGACTTTCAAGGAAGAGAGAGCAAGTGTGAGCATGTACAGAAGAGAGACAGAGCCCAAGAAGCACTGTCTTTATACAACTCAATCACCAAAATGATGTCCAGTCCCTTATGACATATGCCACTCATCAGAAGCAAGTCACAGTGCAGCAGGTGTGTCATTCAGCTCTGTGTTTAGAAAGGAGGAGCTTCAGAGCATTCGTGGACACATCGGTAAGTTTATCATAACCCCAGAACCAGCAGAGCAGGTGCCCGTGTCAGTGTAAGGGGCCCGGGAATGTGGATCCTCACCTTTGCTTTCTGATAAGGCTCTTCTTCTTTGCCAAAACCTGATGTGTGCTTGAACTCTTTTCCGTGACATGTCAAGAGCCAGGAAGTTGTGAGTGGAGGTCTGTACCGGTTGGAGAGACCTCCTGGAGCCCCCTTCTGCTGACATGGACCTGGCAAAGCATGTCAGGGGAGTGGTCTGATGTCCCCTTCCTGCACTTCCACAAGAGTCTGCAACTTCTTTTTCTACCCTTTTCTGAGCTACTTGAGTGATAGTATGGGCTTGACTGGGAACCACAATTTGGAGTCAAACACAAGCTCACTGGCCCTCCCTCTCTCTCTCACTCTTTCTTCTCTCCTCCTAAAGTGCCTACAGATTTCCTCTTTTCCAGATCAGTGAAACAATAAGCATCGGATTATAAAGACACCAAAAATAAGAGGCATTCATTCCCTCCAACTCAACCAGGTGAAGGTGCACCCCAGGATGGGCAGTGGCCTCACAGGAAAAGTCCCAAATGAACGTACCCTGTTCCCAGTTCCAGTGGAACTCCACAAGCTCATTCAGGGAGACAAGTTCACCCAATGTCTCATGCAACCTCACATCTCCTCCGTGATGTTCTCAGACCACATCTGAGAATGAGAGGAGGCAATCAGCCATGATGTGAAGGAACCCCCAAACCAGCTCTCACAATGATCCAGAACAAACAGGTCCCTGGATGACTAGGGGGTGGCAGTCAGTCCTCTCTTCCAACACTATTCCCCATGCTCACCTCTCTTCTCGGTCACAACTGGACTCCTGTCCTTATTTTCAAAACACGGGTGAGCTTTCTCTCTGGGTCTCCCCTTGTAGGGGAGACGCCTGTGGCGATTCTTTGTCTCATCTTAAACTTGGCCAGCTGGGAACAGATCATTTTTACCATCCTCAGTGAGGTTCTCAACCCTCTGTGAGTTTCTGTCCTGATAGACAACACGGCCTCACCCACCGGTGGATGAGGAAGTGTCTCCCCCGGCCAACCAGAGGGGCATATCCATCATTGAGTTATCCAAATAGGTAACATCCTTGACACAACATTTGGAAAGTCTTCAGGGTGTTTGCCTGTTGCTATGTGAGTAATCATGCTTCCCTGGATGAGTACAGAAATGAGAATCATTTGCATTATCACACTGCAGTCTAGGCCTTTCTGTGACGTCATTTTTCTACTTTTTTTCCAAACACTGAAAATATGGTTCATTGGATCCTGGGACTCCAGCGGTACCTGAAAGCAGAGTGTGTCTGCTCATCAGAGGCAAAGGTGCTCCAGCCACTGGGAGTGTGCAGAGGGAATGAGCTGGCGTTGCTCATTATGAGGGTGACGCCCCCTTCAGATTAGTGTTTCATGAGCTCCACTGCAGGCACGCTTGCCTCTAGGGTTGGCATCTCTGTAAGAGGTGGGGCAATCACTCCCCTTTTCTCTCCTTCAGACATGAAAAGATTGAAGTCCCTGCTCATGCACAAGCCGAGGCCTCTCACTTTCAAAATGAGCAACACCTCATCCATTCCAGCAGATTCTCCTTTGTGTTACATTGTAAATAACTGGACTGTCTTTTTGAGGCTGATGGCCTCAAGAAGAGGCTAGTTTTCTTTCTTTCTTTTTTCTTTTTAAATTTGTTCTAATTAGTCGCACGTGAAGGTAGAATGCATTTCGACATATCATGCATAAATGGAGTATGACTTCTCATTCTTGTGGCAGACTTTCTTATACAGTATCACACGGCCTCAACATAAGCTAGAAAACAAGAAAATTGGCCCATATTTTTTGGTTGACGTGCCTAAAACATTTCTTATAAATGACTTCAAGATAGTTCTTACGTTACAGTTATGGGTTAACACAAAAGCTTTTTACCTCTCTGCCAATCTAGTCTTTTTCTTTTTTTTCTCTGCTATCTTTAAAAAATAGAGAGAGAATTATTCAAATGTAGTTAAACCGGTTGTGACTGCAAAGCAGGTGGGCAGGAACAAACGCTAACTCACTTGAGAGTGAGGCAAAGAGAGGGGCTCTTCCCCTTCAGAGGGTCTGAAGATGGGGTGCACAGTGGGGGTGGTCAAAAAGGATCTGCCTTGGGGAGGGCCAGTGGCCACTTATGGCGCTGCTTCAGTGTCTGGGGTGACCCGTGAGTGCTGCCCGGCCACCCCCAGCTGTGTGGGCCTCCAGTGTCTGTGTGCTGTGGTCTTCCTCTTAACATCCTTGCTCACTGTGCCACATGACAGATGCCTGGGACAGGCCCTCCTTTGGTTTCTGAAACTCTAAATCTGGCCCATACTCTGCTTAGGGAGCGTCTGTAACTCTCTAGTTCTTACCTGTGGGGATCCAATACCTGCCACGAAAGCTCTACAGTCATCATCTTCTATTTTTATGTGTATTTTTGCACTTGTGTGTGTTGTAGGTGGTCCCTGCTTGTGGGCTTGTGTTCCTTGACACGGTACCTAACTGACTCACAGATAAATGAGTGCTCACTAATTAAGGGAACAAGGGCCACATACCTTTTAGTTCATGTGACTTAGGTCACTTTACATTTGTGGGTAAGATAGAAGTGAGGATGTCTTTAAACTTGGTAACACATGTTTTTGCCTAGATCGAAAACCAATCAGGGTTGTATATTGGTCTCTCTTAGACATTTAGAACACAATGTCCATTGCTTTTAGGGAATTTCTTTGATAAGAATTAACCTACAATGTTAACTGTGCTTGTTAGATATCTTGGTTTTCATGGGTAATCTAAAACTAGCTGATAAAGTGGATAAATTAGGTAGAAAAAAAGAAACATTTATAAATATATGTTAGAAAAATAGCTGAGTTGTTTATAATTAAGTTAAAATACTAAAAAATCAATTTCTAAATATTATATATAACGTATATATATATATTGAATAATGTGTACTCTATATGTAAAAATAAAAAATTTAAGCTGTGTTTTGATGAGAAAACTATAGGCAGCATAAAGTCTGTTATTTCATTAAGAAAGAGTAATTTTGTCTAATCCATGTAATCCTAGCAGCTTGGGAGGCTAAGGCAGGAGGATCAAAATTTCAAAGCCAGCCTCAGCAACTTGGCCAGGCCCTAAGCAACTTAGTAAGACCCCGTCTCAAAATAAAAAATAAAAAAAATAGGCTGGGAATGTGGCTCAATTGTTAAGCACTGCTGGGTTCAATTCCTGGTACCAAAAAAAAAGTAATTTTGTCTAAATTCAAGAATTTTATAAGGATTGTTTCAAATTGTCAGTTTTAAAAAGTGCTAAAACAAAAGAAAACCACTAAATAAAAACTCGTGAGAGTTATAGGTATGGGAATAGTTTAGGTGAGGAAAGTTGAAAGGAGAAGGGAATACTTTGGTATGAGAAAGAATTTCATACGGTAAAGTAAGATTTTTGTCCTAAAATAAAATATCTAGATTGTTCAAAGATGGGGAAAAGAAAGGACAAGAAACATAAGGATGTAAACAAATTATCTAGTGATTAGGTAGTTATAGATTGCCTATGAAGGATGACTATTAGAACAGTTACGGGTGATTAGTTGAATATAATTTGAAAGATTATTTGAGTGACTTTCTAAGGTAAAAATTTAAGACATTTAGGTAAAGCCAGAATTAATTCTCTATGTTTAAAATTTTCTGCTCTTGGTAACATTTATGAAGGAAAAACTGACTTAATGAACAAAGATTTTTGTGTTTTATTGAGATCAACTCTTGTATTTGCTGTCTATTTATGTTTTTAATTACTCAGGAAATTCTCTTATCAAAGTCAGGGCTTATTTAAGTGTCTATGTTTTTATGAACACTTTATAACTCTAAAAAAATAAACAACTATGATTATGGTTACTATAGTGTACTTGAGACCCAACACATCTGAGATTAGAGATGTGTATATACCTGAGAGCTAAATATGCTGTGTCTAAATATTATGAGCTTTGCCTGAGCTTTTTCTAAATATTATGCATAATTTTGTAGTGTTAAAGTTATATAAGTTTAAGGCATGCAAGGTAACCAAGAACTACTCTTTTATACAATTTACATTGTATCTGCATATTTCATATAAGCATATAAAACAAACAGTGGAACTTTTGGAATTTCTGTCATTTGTATTTAGTACCATTTAGATTTAAAAAAAAAAAAACTCTGCCATTTAAAACCCAATTTACATCTATTTGCTTTAAATAGGTGTTTTCTTACTGTATATATGAGATGCACTTATACATGAGGCCATAAGTCTATCTGTGGTAATTGGCACTAGATATTAAACTTATAAGATATCTAAAGCTACTCTTTAATTTTTGCCAGCATTAGTTACCTGCGTAAAGCTGTTAAAGGGAGAGCAACATCATTATAATTTCCTACCTAGCCATGTCGTGTAACCGCTAATTATTACTGACTTCCTGTGTGTTAAAATGTATCTGTATTCCCCAAATACAAAAGCCTGCTGACATGCAAGTTGAAGGAAACACTTTACCAAGTTGGTATCCCCGGAACTCACATGTTAGTAACAATAGCCTTTTTCAGGCTCACATTTATGTGTTCTTGGTTATAGTCTGGCCATCAAAGATAATTGAATATGCTCAACACTTGTCTTTCAAAACCTTGACACTCTGATAATTAAAGGATTGGGCATGGATCACCTAGGAAGTACATCAGGAAAAAGTATGCTCTACTTTATTTTCAAGACATGTCATTTATTTATAAGACAAAAAAAAATGCTTAATGTTTTCTCTGATATAAGGAGGCTGACTCATAGTAGGGTAGGGAGAAAGAACATGGGAGGAATAGATGAACTCTAGATAGGGCACAGGGGTGGGAGGAAAAAGGAGGAGGCAGGGGATTAGCAAGGATGGTGGAATGTGATGGACATTATTATCCAAAGTACATGTATGAAGACACGAATTGGGTGTCAACATATTTATATACAGAGATATGAAAAATTGTGGTATATATGTGTAATAAGAATTGTAATGCAAAAAATCACAAAGTACATGTATGAAGATATCAATTGGTGTGAACATACTTTATATACAAAGATATGAAAAATTGTGCTCTATATGTGTAATGCATTCTGCTGTCATGTTTTTAAAAAAATAAAATCAATTTTAAAAGACAAAAAATATAAAAATAACAAAAATATAAAAATAGCAAATTTTATGTAAACCATTCAATATTTATTAACAGATCAAGTAACCTATTGGTAAAAGGTACATATGTGTGTGTGTGTTTCTTCACTTAAAATTATTATATAAACTGAATTTACTTTGTTCTTAATAATTTTACTTTGTATTTTTCTTGTACAACTTTGTAACTGTTGTCTGTTAATATTTTGCAGAAGTAGAACTTAGAACATAAGCAATATTTTGATATAATAGTCATCACCTACAGGACAGATATTAACCCTTGTTCATTAAAAAGGACAGGCAGGAGTAGCCTTCTCAGTGTTCAACAGCTGAAATTTGAAGGCCAAAATCAAGAAATAAAAGGATGCAAAAAGAAAAAAAAAATAGCTAATATTTTGGCCCTCAGCATCCAAGGTCTCCTAGGACTCAGGGAGCAGTGGGAATCCTCTAAGGGCCCTGCAATTCTGACAAGTCACCCAGAATCCCAATCAGGGGGCTTGCAAAGACTCCCTGAGACTAAGAGCCAACCCGTTGTCAATTCTGCAAAGAGGAGGTTCACGGGAGATGGGATGTCCCTATCGCTCCCAAGGGAAGCCACGGAGTCAGTAAGGTCCTGAACCATCCTGGCAGACGGAAAGACCAGGAGAGGGGGAAAGACTAAAGGAGCCAGGATGTTCCTTACAAAGTCCCTAAGAGTAACTCCTGAGGGGCCTTGACGGACCTGAATAGGAACAGAAAAGAAAGGAAGAGAAGGAGGTTCACTTTTGGCCAAGAAAGGGGCCTGCTTATCCCTGAACACCCAGCCGGGAAGAATAACCGAGGCAGGCGTGCTACTGAGGGGCACAAGGAAGGCCACACTCATGGCGCCATTTAAAAATAATTTACCCCATCCCCCACCCCACCCCCTAATTAGACATCTGACTTTGGACCCCTCTTGTATTCTGCTTTACGATCTATCTTGGTACTTTCACTTTTAGGCTTACAGGGTAGGGGAGAGTCTTTCTCCAACCCTGTCCTTACAAGATACTATACAGAGACCTTTTCTGATCTCAGACCTTGCCACTATCCTAAAACACAAAGAAATTGTTATTAAACATGTTCTCAGATTGGGGGTAGTTACGAAGGACCCATCTGGAATACAGAAATCGAGTACCTCCTGCACCTGCCCCATCACCCCACAAGTTGAGTCAAGGAAACTTGTTCTATTAAAACCTTGAAAAAGGTGCTCACCCACTGACTAGCTTCTCCCCAGAGGGAAAGGCCCCCTCCAGGTCTCCTTAAGCACCCTGGTGGCTGTCAGAATCCACGGCCAAACATTGTGGAGCCATTTATGAAAACTTAAACCTGCCCGTCTTGAAGTCTTACAGGACCAGGACCGTAAGCCACCGGAGAGAGGAGAACAGGACTCCTCTTCATTTGAGCCACTGGAGGATCCAAGGGTCCTGTTCAAAGCAATGAAAAGCCCTGTTTAAGCCAAGTCCTACATTCTAGGTCCCAGGAGCCTCACTCCTTTCTGCTGACATACAACCTTTTTTTTTTTTTTTTTTGGTGATTGGAACTTCTCTGCTCTGCCAGAAACCAGTCCCTTGGGCAGGATCTGCTTTCTCTTTGAGGCCCTCTTCCCCTCTTCATGAGAGCCTACCCTGACTGCAAAGCAGGGCCTAGACCAAGAGCAGATCTGTGGGCCCTCTAGCCTGACCCCCGTTGGTTGTTACGACCGTCAGGACCTTTGGCTGCCTGATCCTCCTGCTGTTGGCCTCTTACCTTCTTTATCTTCCAAGAGCATCACATCTCCCAGACTGTGACAATTCCACGTTGAGAGGGTGGCAGTGCCTGGATTCCAACCCATCCATGAAGCACAAATCACTTTCTGGGTCTCCTTTAGATCAGGCAGGATGAGATTTTCCATCCCTGGCTACGTAGGGCCATTGTCCCTTGCCAGCTTGAAGCAGTTCTGGAGAACAGACCCCCTTGCCCTTCATTAGCCCCTAAGAATAAGGGAACAGAGGTGGGTGGGGTAGGATTAGAAAGCAGTTGAAAGGAGAAAAAAAAGAAAGAAAGGAAAAGGAGACTGTTAATTTGCTAAAGTTTCTCATAACTTCCTCCTACCCAGTTTTTCTCCCACGACTTCCCCGAATTTCTGAGAAATCTACAAATCTTAATGTTACTGTAAATTCTTTCACAATCCTGAAGTTACTGGAAATATACTCACTTATGAAAATTGCCCTGTGCAAAATTGCCCTGCAAAACATGCATTTTTAGAATGGATTAAACAAAGGGAGACACAACATTTTAAGAAACCTATAATAAGCTGGGTGTGGTGGTACACACTCCCAGGTACTTGGGAGGCTAAGGCTGGAGGATCACATGTTTGAGGCCAGCCTGGCACTTCGCGAGAACCTGTCTCAAAAAAAATGGGCTGGAGTTGTAGCTCATTGCCAGAGCACCCCTGGAGTCAATCTCTAGTACCAAGAAAGAAAAGAAGAGAGCAAGCAAGAAGGCAGCAGGCGGCTATAACAGAAGGTACATTCCAAATGTCATGTGTTGATCAGATAATAGAGACCACGTCTGTGGGGAGCCATTCTCACACGTGACTGGGCAACCCCAGGTTTGGGTCTGAGGCGCTCTGGCTAAACTGTGTCAGAGCTTTCCGGGCCCTCTCCTGGACTGACCACTGACCACGGGGGCCAATCACTGACCCTGACCTTGGAGGGCGGCCCCCCTCAACCTTCATTGGATGGAATTCTCCCCTGAATTTCTTGTTTCCCAATAAAAGGCTACTCCCTGGCGTGCTCTCTCTCTCTCCTGCTAGCCCTGAGTCATCCTTGCTGCCCCACCGGGTGGTTCCAAGTGAGAACCAGAGGGGGGAGCCGTCTCGGACCTGGTCATAGAAAGAGGTAACTGAGTCTGTGTGTTTATTTTGATCTCACTAGTTAACTTTTATGCCAAGAACCTCATTAATGAAACCAGTGCGCTGGTCGCATGGTGGACACGTCTACCTCAAGATCCTGGAGGAACAGACGGACATAAACCATCGAGGATCACCAGACAGATGTATTCTCCACACACCTGTCCATGCCCACTCCTCACAAAGTGTCCTTTAAAAGAACAGCCTGGGACCCCCAAAGCACCTCTCACCCTCGAGACAGCCCCTAATCTGCTCCGAGTGCCTACCTTCACTTCCTATAATAAACTTTTGTCTTTGCTGCTGAGACCTGACTTGTCCTTAAATTATTTCCTGTGATGTGTCAAGAACCTGGAAGTTCCGGGTAGGTCTCCTCTGCCTCTAGAAAGACCTCGTTGAACCCCCTCCCAATGACACCCTCCTAGGAGGTTCTTCATTTCAAAAATGGATGAGCTCACAGAATGAGAAAATGAGAGGGTGAGCAGGGAGAGTGGCGCGGGCTCACCTCACACAGGCAAAAGGAGCAAAGACTAGAAAGATCCGGGTGCCCGCAAGGCCGTCCGGTTGGTAAGGGCAGGCGCCAGGCTGGTCTGATTCCTTTACAGTGATTTCCAATGGCGTGTCACCCAGGAAGCGGTTGTGAAATAGAAGCCGAGGACAGCAATTTGCAGTAGCCATGCCCTGCCCAGAGGAAAAGAAGACACAGCCCAGAGAAGAAAGGTCAGACTAAGCCGCATTCAAATGAGAACCAGGAACTCCCTGCCTGCTCCTGCCAAATCCTTCTGCAGGTGCCTTGTGCTCCCTGTGGGGACAAAGCTGGGGTGGCTATGCTGAAGGAAATCTGCAAATTCTACCTCAAATCTGCAGCCAGGATCTTCTCCAACAAAACCAGGTCAGTCCAAAGAAAAACCAGGCCTGAACGTGAAGCAAAACAGGCTCCCTCCTGATCCAGCTAGACCAGGGGCCATTTGTAGCAAAGAAGGCTGCACCTTCTGGGGGTTCCTTGATATTGCCATTTCAGAACCTCAGCTCTTCCTCCTAAGAATCCTTGGAAGAGCTCTGAGACAACAGAGGTTCAGAGAGGTGGAGAGGTCACTGGTCTAAGGTCCCCAGCTCATGGATGTGTCAGAGTTGCGACCCAAGCCTGGGACGGTCAGGCCCTTCCCGTGAGAAGGAACCAGCTCTGTCATGCACGGCCTCATCCTCTCCATGGAAGTGGGCCCCCTCTTGCTTGAATTCCTGCTGATACCTCTGTGAGGCCCCAAGCGCACCCTTCCCCATTCACCTCCCAGCCCAGAGTGGACACTGCCCACTTCCCAGGGTTTTCCTCAGACTATCGTAGCCAAATCTGCATTGAAGAATCGCGAGGAGCACCTCCAAGCCAGCGACTCAGAAACAGGGGACAGCATCAACAACCCAACCTGAGACACCCAAGGCTCTGAGTGACTCCCTAGGTACCACGGTGACTCCAGGCTGAAGGCAGTAAGGGTACTTGTCCCTCCACAGGAACACCTGCTGGTCACAGCTCCTGGGACACTTTCAGGCAGGTACTACAGCCACACTCACAGGCACCTAAGGCTGGTGCCACTTGGGGTCCCCATCTCTCTCCACTCCTTTCAATAGGCTTGTGGAGGCTTGGCCTTGGCCTCACCAAGGCCAGGGTGACCTCCAGCTCCCTACCACCGTGGCTTCCTAGCTGGGTCCATGTTAGGTCAGAGGGTTAAACCATCCCCTGGGAGGACAGTGACTGGGAGGGACAAAGCTCTTCTTCAGCTGGACCCCAACCCACAGGAAGAAGGCAGGCTTCTCCACACAGACCGTGCAACCTTGACGACTCATCGAGCCCCACATTCACCCCAACACCTGGGAGACAATCACTTGCTCTTCTGTATCCAGAAGGAAAATTTCTTCCTTTTTCTCGGGGGTGGGGGGTGTGGGGAGGGGAGGCTGCTGCTGTTGTTTGTGTTTTTTGAAAGAGCATGGGATTGAGTTCTGGCTTGGCCTTGGACAGGTTTTACCCAAGTTCTGCCAGCTCCACCACCTAACGGCTTGCAGTTGGCCAAACCACAGGACTAAACATTGGAAGATTTTCCCTCTCTCCGAACCCCTCTTCCTAGAGTGGACCCAGGCTAAAGCCTGGTAATAATCCACAGGGTAAAAGATGGGTGGAGGTTTGTTTCAACATAGTCAGAGACAGGAGCTATACAAAAAGGCAGCCATTCCCCCCTGGGAAAAGACAATATTGAAATAAGAAATCCTGGTAGGTGTTCTCCCTGTGAAACAGCTGCCCCCGCCCGGAGCCACCCAGTGCGGAGGCTGGTGGGACTGAATGAGTGACTGGCCACCTGACAACCTGCCAGGGGCTGAGGAGAAGAGGGTGGGAGAAGGAGGAAGCCAAGCAAGATGGAGGTGCCGGAAGCCAAGTCTGCAGCCTGCAACACCAGTGCTCAGCAATCCACGATCCCCCACATAAAACCCAGAGCAGAACGCTTGCTTTCCGGCTCCTCAGCTGGGATTCAGCCTTGGACCTTGCAATGAGACTCTATTTGCCCTGGGGTTTTCCTGAGCTTATCAGGGGTCTTAGGCTTCTGTTATTCCTGCCACCTCTCTGTGAGTGATAAAGTTGATCTGGGTGACTTGTGCAACCCTTTTGTCTTACTGTTTTCCTACTTGGGCAGCTGGATTTAGGCAAAAACCTTCTGCCAGATCTAGAAACCGGAGCATAATCTCTCAAGGCCTTGAGACTCCTCCCGTGCGAGGGCCCCAGGTGCGTGGTGTCCATTCACACACAGTAGATCCCAATTAGAAAGGGACTCCCTGAAGTTGCATGCAGGGTGCCTGGAGTTGGGAGGAGGGAGCAGAAGCAACAAATTTCACTGCAGCTCCCAATCTCCATGGGCGATGCCTGCTGTGGGCCTGAACTAAAATAAAGAGGAAAAGTGTTCATGTTCCTGGACTCCAAGTGCCTTGCTTTACTTTACAGGAAAGCTGTTTAAAGGGGTTATCTAGGGGCTGACCAATTAGGTCCACTGGCCAAATCCAGGCCTCAGTCTGTTTTTACATATTGTATTGGTCGGCTTTCTGTTGCTACAACAGAATATCTGTGTCGAGGTACTTTATAAATAAGTTTACTTAGCTCACAGTTTTGGAGGCTGAGAATCCAACACCAGGTGGGCCCATTTCTTTGGCCCCTGGTGAGGCCCTCATGGTGGGCTATATCACAAGAGAGTGGGTGACAAAGAGATCACACCGTGACACAGGAAGCCAGAGAGGCTCAGGATGAGATGTGCTCTTTTTTATAACAACTCTCACTAATGGGAACTGACAGAGGCCCCACGGGAACTGCGTTAATCCCCTCTGAGCATGGTATCCAGGTCCTGCCTTCCCCAGGTCCCGCCTCTCCATGGCCCTACCGCCTCAGCCCACCATACTGGGATCATGCTCAGAACAGCCAATCCACAGAAGGAGCTCCCAGGCTAAGGGTGGCTCTACAGATTTGTAAAAGATGGAGAAGACTGGGAAGGAGGAGGAGCAAGGAGAGAAAAGGAGGAAGAGAAGAGTAGATAGTGGGAGGGAGGGAGAGACGGGAAGAGCAGAGGGGAAAGAGACCGAGACCATCTGTGGCCCTTAAAGTCTAAAATCCTATAGGCCTCCCCTTATAGCAAGGGCACTCTTCCAGAACAGCTGAGACAGTGTCCCCTTCAGAGCAGGGTCACCATGTATTTCCTTTACTGTTGGACACCCAATGCCTGAGAAAATGCGTGGCACACAGAATCCATCTGTCAATATTTGTGAAATGAAGGAAGGATTAAACGAACGGAAGGTTAACAGGAAGGCTCACGGTAACCACTGAGTCTCAAGGCCTTGAGACCTTCTGCTCTGGTTTCTAGATCTGGCAGGAGGTTTTTGCCTAAATCCAGCTGCCCAAGTAGGAAAACAGTAAGACAAAAGGGTTGCACAAGTCACCCAGATCAACTTTATCACTCACAGATAAGTAGCAGGAATAACAGAAGCCTAAGACCCCTGATAAGCTCAGGAAAACCCCAGGGCAAATAGAGTCTCATTGCAAGGTCCAAGGCTGAATCCCAGCTGAGGAGCCCGAAAGCAAGCATTCTGCTCTGGGTTTTATGTGGGGGATCGTGGATTGCTGAGCACTGGTGTTGTGGTTACCAAGAGCTTTCCTATAAAGCTCTTGGTAACCGCAGGAACAAAAACATCCGTGCTATTTGAAGTTCAGTTCACCTGCTCATTCTGAGGGGAGGCTGACACCCAGTCCTGGC